ACTATTTCTGGCAAAAAAATGCCATGCGTCATCCCAACTTGGCTGTGAGCTTCAACAAGTATTGTTAACTGTCAGCTGAGTTTCCTCAGGGGATTACTCTTGGGAATTTGAAAGAAGCCTCTTAGCTTCTCTAGTGCCATATGTCAGGATGGGTCAGGATCTGGTTGACCACATGGCTTCCCTTTGAAACATCAGGGACTTCTCACTCTCTTAATTACCCTCCTATTTGCAGCATGTGCACTGATTTTTTGTTGTCTAGGGTCTCATTGGTCCCCCTGATGGGGAGGTCACATGGCCCAGAGTTGCAAATCCTTTAGAGAAGTCCCATCATTCCCTAGGTGTGAGCTGTCCTCAGAAGGCAAGAGCCAAATACTGGCTTATTTTTTTTTCTTGGGCCTTTTACTTCCTTATTAAGCTTTTGTCTTAAACATCCAGCAAGCCAGTTTTACCAATCTGAAAATTAGAATACTTGGGTTTAAATTTAATGTCTATATTATTACAGTCATTCACCCCTTTTATTTAATTGGGTTCAGAATTAATACTGGAAGTTAGCCTTATATCCTGTCTTTCTATGGATGATGGCCTAGTATCTCAAATTCTCTCAGATTGTAATTTTGAAAGTTGTACTTCTGTAAGGCAATAAGTCCCAAAACTTTACTTTAAATGTTAGTTTGAAGAACACCAGGTTGATAAAATAAATGTTCTTCTAAATCATGTACTTTAAAGATTTGGAAACTTGGAAAATATGAAGACATTTAGTATACAAACAGGGCAGTAATAACACCACAAATATACTGAATTTTTTAAACCAAGTTTAGTTTTAAAAGAAAAATTCAGGGGCGGGGGTTGTGGCTCAGTGGTAGAGTGCTCACCTAGTACATGCAAGGCCCTGGGTTCAATTCTCAGCACCACATAAAAATAAACAAATAAATACATAAACAAAGGTATTGTGTCCAACTACAATCAAATATATATCTTTTACATTCAGAATCTGTAATGTACTGTGTAATATATATATATATTCAGAATCTGTAATGTAATGTAATACCCTAAAATAACAATTATTGTTTGACCAGAGTTGTACAAACCCTAATTCCTTTAAGACCATTGCTCTAAAGAATAAACCTTAACAGACACAAGATATTATCTTTATAGATAAGAGCAGATTAATGTTTTAGGAAACCTATGTTACTTTAAGCCATAGAGAATCAAACTTCTGTTAATATCACTACATTAATATTTCAATTAAAAAAAAAGCCTAATGTTAATTATGTATATCTGACTTCATTACACAAATTTGTTGAAATTTACTCTCCACAAACCTTCTGCAATTTAGACATTTTACAACTTTACTTTACCAGACAAAAGCCTTTCTTATCCAGAAATATTTCTTTTTCCTTCCACTTTCCATATTAAAATATATTTCCATATCTAGAATCTTCTTGTATCTCTTTCCCAGCTCTTGATCCTTTTCCTAATTTACTTAAGGGTTGTTTTAGAGTGTGAATTAGGAAAAAAGAGAAAGGTAAGAGGGCACTAACTTTCTCTGTTATGAAATCCTACTCCCACTATAACAGCATAATCCATTTAATCCATTATGAGGGCAGAGCTGCATCACCTGAATAAACTTACCTCTTAATACTATTACAATCACATTAAATGTCACCATGAGTTAGAAAGAACATACAATAAACTCATAGTAGACTTTCTGAAATGAAACAAAGAAAGATTATAGTTCTATAACATCTAAATTTGGCACTAGTATAAAAAGAAACATAAACAGAAATAACATGTTAATATATTTTGCATGGTAAAAACATTTGATGAAGAAAGGCACTTTGAAGACAAGGGAGACCTATAAAAATACTTGGCTAAAATATTGACACATTCTTAAGTAAAAATTTGAATTTCGAATACTAATTTAATTTATAATAATTTTCACTGAGTTTAACAGGTACATCAGAGTGTAAAGACATTGCTTCTTTGATTAAAAATATTATACTATAGGGGAAAAAGTCAACTGAGAATTTCAATATATGTAAATATTAATTATATAATTCAACTATGACCAAGATTTTAGAATATGTAAAGAAATTTTTAAGTGAGATCATGGTTTGAAAATATATTGTTCAGAAACATACTTGTGACATGATATTAGGGAACACATGAGGTTAAGAATCTGATTAAAGAACATGGGTATATGCAAAGGACTATCATATGCTTCAAATAGTTTATGACTAATATAAGGAGACATTGGTACATACAGACTTGTGGTATTTTCATAGTTACAAAATGTTTTTTTAAATGAGTTTTTGACTAGAAACATTATACTAAATAAAACCATTATTTGAAAAGGAACTATTGTTTTAGTAGCATCATAAGTTTTTAACAGTATCATTTGTATAGATATACTGAGAAAATAAAGCTAATTATCATCCCATATAAAATGTTATACAAATGCATAATTTTATTATTGAACATTTCTTGTGCCCTTTTTGTCCCATGCTCAAAATGTTTCAGTTTGAATATTATCTGGTCACACCATAAAACTCAGACAAAATAATTTAAGTTTGTCAGTGGCTGTTTCATATCAATAAAACAAGAAATAAAAAGAAAACAATCTATCAGATCAAATGAAAGCCCCTGATGGAAGGTCCTTAAGATGAAAAATCTTATAATGACATTAAACAATTACCACTTATTGATATTGTTAAGATGAAGATGAATTATTGAGAAAAGGTAAAATTATTCACAGTATCAGTCATTTAAATGGGGGAAATCATATAAAAGTTATGCTACAAATCTGGTGGTTTCATATGATACCGATCAGATGATTGTAAATAGGAATGAATTTGATTCTTTATATCATCTTGATATTGTGGAAAGCTCAGTCCTAGGTCCCCAATGCCAATCCAATAATGAGGACAACATTTGGAGAAAAAGGAAAGGCAAGATTTATTGCTTTGCCAGCAAAGGAGAAACACAGGACATTCCAGTCCTAAATGCTGTTGATACTGTGCAAAATCAGAAAGAGGGGGCTTCTAAACAGGAAATTCAAAGGCTATATTGCAAATGATCCCTGTCTGGAGCTGTAATTCACTTGTTCATTTGGGAGAGAGTGGTTTCTGAGATCTTCTGGTACCATCCCCAATGTGTGGATTACTTCCTTCCTTTGGTGGGTGTGAACTCAAGGAGAGATAAATCTGCCTGAAATGGGGAAAAAGCTAATCCTATTCCCCCTGAAATTAGGGAGGAGCAATGAGAAAAGAAGAGAAAAAAACATATCTGTTTGAAAAATGAGTTAAAAGGGGCAAAGCAGCAAGAACTCTATACAAAACACAAGGTGGACACAGTTCAATTGACACCAGTTGTGTGTAGCACTACTAGAATATGATGTGTGAAAGCATTCAATATGGACAAGAAGACTGCTATTAACAAGGAAATGCTGCAGCAATATGCATGTGCCCATATAAAGACACACATTTTTCTGTAATTAAGAACACAAAGCAATGGTAAACCATTTATTCCACAAGTATTTGATGAGTACAATCCAAATGCCAGGCACATTTTTGAATGTTTTGTATTTGTTCACAAAATGACCTAATTTCCAAAATTCGTGCCATAGGGTAAGATATAAAATTTCAGCAGATGGAGTGCGGCTGCACTTGAAACTGCACCCGGGTTGATTTTGAGAATGACTCCGAAGTCTTAACTGGCCACATGTGTGACACATTTTGTTTCTTTACTGATATTAAAAAGCCAACATGTTCAATACCTGAAGTAAATTAATAATCTCCTTTAAAGATACAGGTATTTGGCAGAAATGCAAGACAACTTTTACAAAGAAGAGAGGTGAAGCAAGTATTTGCATATTGCGGCCCCTACAATGATTGAATAAAGGAGGTTTGAAGACTTTTGAAAGACACTAGGAAAAAAAAAGCAGATGAGCAATACACTAGAGCCTGAGTCCCTGACCTGTTACCAAACACCTTGGGCCTTGTCGCTGATGGCCATGCTATTGCTCCTCATTATTATGAGGAGAAGGTTTTGAGATCAAGGTAAAAGGAGGTTTATTGCTTTGCCAGCAAAGGGGAAACACAGGGGACTCCTGTGCCAGAAGATTTGATTCTGCCCATCAGGGAAAAGAGAGGGTTTTTAAGGAGACTATTCAAAGGCTCCACTCCAGGTGTGCCCTGACCAGGGGTTCCCAGGAGCATCCTGATGGTGTGTTAGGATTAACTAGTTTATCTGGGAGATCATCACTTCCTAGTTCTTCTGGTGACTTCCCCTGTCTGTGGAGAACAGATAACTCAAGGCAATCTTGTTCCCTGCCCCCAGGTTAGGGAGGGAGAAAGGGAGAAGGGGAAAAGAAAAACATTTCCCTTTTAAAATAAGCAGCCAGGGTTGTATTCCAAAGGTAAAGTGGACCACTCTTACAACCCCAGTGCTTCCACCAATCAACTTCACCATCCAAATTGAATTGTCAAGTGTGTTTATGTCCAGCTGAATATTTGTGGAAAAAAATTAGTTCTCTTTTTCATCAGGTCTTGACCCCCAAACTGTCAAGTTCCTTAGACAGACTAAGCGCCTGGGTCCTTGGTCCACTTAGGGTGCATATGACCCCTCTTTACGCAGTCAGTACCTTTATGACTGCATTGGCTGCCTAGGAGATAATAGAATGAGAATCCTAGAAATGAGTGGACCTAGAACCACTCCTCATTTGCCTTTTGGCCTTTGATGTTCCCAGAGCGAGTTTTTGAACTGGGCACGTTATTTGTTGGTAAAAGGCAGTTGTGGCTGTTTTTTCCCTCAACCCATCTCCAACTCTCTCCTTGTTTTCCCCCACCCCCTGTCCTTGCCTAGTCCTCACCTATCCTAAATTTTCCAGTGACAC